TTAGTTACGCAGAATTTCGGTGTCGTGGCGGCATTTGCTACTATTTTATCTTTGGGAGGGGGTGTTTTCCCTCATTTCTACCTGTTCAAAAACGAGTGTTACTCCACAGGGGTTTGGATGCAAGCAAGAGGGCCGAGCAGACACCTAACTATTGTTCATCACACTGGTTTTATTACATACAAGTGTACTGGGGGGTGGAAAACTCTGTTGTTGCCTGATGCGATGCGGAGGGAGGCAGAGCCCACGTACCACAGCGAGCCCGGCGGCCTGTTCCCATAGATTATCCCGCTTTGCCCTGTGCAAACACATGAGGGATTGTCCGAGGACAGTGGGGGCCTTTATACCCCCAAACACATTATCACAGCTCAGCTATTCCCCCCTCCCTCCCTGCTTTCATGTGCTTCCAGCCCAAGCATCCATCCCCAGGGAGCCCTCGGGTGACCCATGGGGATGTCACGGGAGGCCCCAACCACCCCAAATTCCTGCTTTTTGAGGTGGGATGGGCTGTATCTGTGGACCAGGTGCTGTGGGCGGGATGAGGATGCTGAGAGAAGCCAGTGGCTGTGCAGAAACCTGGTTGGGATGTACCGTTCCCCAAGGAAAACCAGGCACAGCACCATGGAATGGGGTCCTGCCCCTCTGTTGGGAAAGCAAAAATCAACTCAAATTAGCAAAATGCTCAATTAGGCACAAGCCAGCTCTGAATTCATGGAAAATGGGAGAAAATAAGGGAGAGCCCAGCTCCGAGGGTCCATAAGAAGAGGATGCTGGTGGATTTCAGCCTTGGGAAGAGCCCTGCAGAGGGACCAAGTGCAAGGTGCTGAGATTCCCATGGGCTTAGCCTTAGATTAAGCAATTAATTTTTAAGGCCAGATCCCCTCCTTCAAGAGCAACACAGGGCAAAAGACAAAGTATTTAACCAGCACCTGCCCAGGAGGGAAACCAGCGTTCAGCCCTGCCTGGGCCATGCTGCAGAAGTTGCTTCCACTCAGCAAAGGAGTCACTTGTGAGAGGCTGGCCCAGATTTGGAAGGGAAAAGAACAAAGAGACAGTTTGAGAATGATGCCCATGATTGGAAATATTTTAATACCAGAGTCACCAGTTTTAGTACAAACAATCAGCAAAAAAATGCATTTAAAAACCCCAACTGGTCCCATTCCCACGGCCATGCATCCCATAGGAAAGTTAATGGGATTTTGTATTAAAAGAATAAAACCATTCTTCTACACCACGCTGTGCTCTTGATATAAAAACGCCTTTTTGATAGATTTTTGGGGGTTTCAAAGCACGAGGTTTCGTTTTCAATCCTCACTGCAGTAGCTTTGGGGATGTATTTTTGGAGGGGAACCCCATAAGTTGGGGTGAAGACAGACTATAAGCACTGCTCTCCCCTGATGGGTGAAGAAGGCATTTTTACAGGGGGTCTGCGATTTAAAAGAGAAAGAGGGTGGTTAGTCCCATGTGAGAGAGAGAAATGAACCCCCCCTGTGGGTGAAAATAGCATCACTTCCCCTCCAGCATGGGCATAAAATAGAGGGAAATAAAATAAAAGACAGTAAAATGGAATAAAACAGAGTAAAATGGAATAAAATAGAACAAAACCCACCCCCCAAAAGAGAACAAAATAGAGCAAAACAAACAAAAAATGAGAATAAAATGGAATAAAACAGAGCAAACCAAGAATAAAATAAAAGACAGTAAAATGGAATAAACCAGAGTAAAACGGAATAAAATAGAACAAAACCCACCTCCCAAAAGAGAATAAAATAGAGCAAAACAAAAAATTAGAATAAAATGGAATAAAACAGAGCAAACCAAAATCAGAGTCAAATAAAATCCAACAAATCAGCTACTTCAGCTAATGGGGATTAAAAAATAAAGTGATAATTAAAAACCAGATGATCAGGCTCTTTGGATCCCTTCCACTGTTTTCCCTGCAGGTTAGCTGGCACAGCACATGCAATACGTGGAGGGACGGAGGCACAGGGGGATGCGGGGGGATTTACGGATGGAATTGGAGCTGCGGCGCTTGCAGAGCAGTTAGTAGCGGTCAGACGAGGTACAAGGAGGCAATTGGCACGTCGGCGTTTGGAGGCTTCACCGCCTGCTCCAGGGGATCCTGTCAGGGGAAGAGGGATTTGGACGCAGCGGGGAGGCATCAAAATCCAGGCTCTGTCCATCTGCCACCCGAAACGGCCGCGCTGGGCAGCGGAACGGGAAACAAACCACTGCTTTGTGTTCAAAGCACCCTTTTTGCCTGCTTTAATTTGCCCAACACCATTTCTTCTTCTTCTTAACAAGGCCACATACTTGTGCCTGGTGAGCAATAAGCCCAGGACAGGTTTTAGCTGGCAGAGCTCTGCTGGAGCACCAGCAACCAGGCTTCAGTCAAGAATTAATAATAGTTACAGGAAATGCTGGTTTTGGGTAGCGATGAGGCAGGGCAACGCTTTGCACCCCGAAAGTATCCCTCTGCTGGGGCATGGGATGCTCAAGCCCCAGCTTGGGCTGATCTGGTGGACATAGACAGCAGCTTCATCCCAGAAAAACCAAGCTCCGGCTTCACTCCTTGCTTGCTCCTGAAAATGGGATGCAGGGGAAGGGTGGGGGGGTCATGGCATCACCCCCGCAGCACCGGCATGGCCACATCGCTGCTGCACCCGTGTGACAGATGGACATGGTCCAGTCACTCACAGCCCGCCCCCCCCCCGGGTGCTGGGGGTGACAGACAGCCCTCGGGGGGAGCCTGTGCCCTATTTTAGAGGATGAAGCTGCAAGTGGTTGATGAGAAGTGGCTGCCCCATCCCTGGCAGTGTTCAAGGCCAGGTTGGACACAGGGGCTTGGAGCAACCTGCTCTAGTGGAAGGTGTCCCTGCCCGTGGCAGGGGTTGGAACTGGATGAGCTTTAAGGTCCCTTCCAGCACAAACCAGGCTGGGAGTCTATGAAACATGCTGAAACCTGGAAGATGGGGAGGAGAAAGGTCTCCTGGAGCATCCAGGGATCAGCGGGGTGGGAGCGCCGCGGTCTCGCCTGGCTTTGGGAGGGAGGGTGAGGGGTCAGACGTACTCCCGCGCTGTGGAAGGCTGTGACTGCCGGTAGCAGCGCTGTCCTCGCCGCTCCTTGGGGGGGCAGGAGCAGCACAGGAGGGAGCCCCCCAGCACGGTGAGGCCGGTGGCCCCCCAGCCGATGAACAGAGCTGAGCCGAACTCGTACCTGCAGCGAGAGAGAGGGGGAGCGTGGCAGAGCTGCAGGTGATGGGCACAAGGATGCTCAAAGCCCTGACGAGGCTTTGGGTGACATCAAGGCAGATGCTGGGTCTTCTCTCTGACCATCCCCATCCTTTCACATTGGATGGGCCCAGCTACTAGGTTTCCCCGTGCTTTAATCCTCCCTTGGGCTAAAACTCCACGTGAGCGCTCTTGCTCTGTCCCAGCACAAAGTCAGTGGTACCAACCAAAGCTTTAGCACTGGGGACGTCTCCTGCACCACGGCAGCTGTGGGGTGGCACAGGTCCCACCCCAAGTGGCACATCTGCCTATGACCAGATGGCACAGGAAGATTCCATGGGAAGTGTAGGGACAAGATGGAATTCAGATAAGGAGCATCCCCAAGCTGGGCTCTCACCTGGCGTTCATGGGGACACTGCTCTCTCTGAAGAACTCGTAGGTCACCCGTGTTGCGTACAAGGACACGGCAGCCAACGTGCACAGACCTGGACATAGGATCATGGAATGGTTTGGATCAGAAGGGACCTTTAAAGGTCTCCTAGTCCAAGCCCCCTGCAGAGAGCAGGGACAACTTCAACACTGAACATCAGCAACACCAGCCCATCGCCAAACCTCTCCCCTTCCTCCATCAAACAGCTTCTAAAAGGCATTTGAGGTGTTCTGCATCAGGGAGGTGCCAAGGCTGGAGCTGCCTTACCAGAGAGGATGAAGAGGACACCTCCAGCAACAGCGATGCGGCTCTTGGTTACGGGATCCTCTTCACCAACCTTGGTGCATTTCATGCCCACCACGCTCACAATGATGCCAAAGAAGCCCAAGAGGAGAGAAATCACCATGAGAGCCCGGGAGGTCTGGATGTGAACTGCAAGGGGCGGGAAGAAAAGCCCTCACCGGTGTGTGCTTTGGGCCCCAGCCGGTCTCCAAAGCAAGGTCACCTCGTCCCACACCGGGGATGAACCTGTCCTTAACCC